ATTTATTAAGTTATGTTTATTGTATGTATTTCTGTTTGTTTTTTCTTTCTAATTGCTCATTTCTACACTAAGTACTTGGCTGAGGCTCCTTTAACATGAGTTACTATATGATCATGGTGTGGCATGGAGGCAATCATATTGTGGTACTGCTGAGGTGTTTTTGAAGTCAAGTTTTGATAGCAGCCTTTAGCTCATCTGTATTTTTGGGTTGGCTGTTTCTCATCCCTCTGGTCAGCAGACCCTCTAGTATTAGCTTTAGCACTGTGAGGAGGTGCTAGCATGGTTGAAAAAAGAAATGTGAGTCTCCATAAAGCTTGTCATGAGAAATAAAGTAATCTAAAATCTCCTGGTAGGTGATTGCATTGACTTTGGACTTGATAAAACACAGTGGACCAACCACCACCGCAACTCATGACATGACACCCCAAATCATCCAAGACTGGGAACTTGTATCTCTCCACTCTTCTTCTACACTCTTCCAAATAAAATGCAAAGTTGACGTCCCTCTGAAAAGAGAACTTTGAACCACCGAGTAACAGTTGAAATATTTTTCTACAGAGTCAGTTGCTACAGACCTTCAAACTTCATATGGCCTTCAGATTATCTTTAGAACAGTGAGTAGAGAGCTTCATGGAATAAATTTCCATGGCTGAGCAGCTGCATCCAAGTCTTACATCACCAAGCACAATGCAGCGAATCAGATGCAATGGTGCACCCAACTTTGTAGGAACAGTTTTAGGATGGCCCCTTCATGTTCCAACGTGACTGTGCACCAGTGCACAAAGCAACATTGATAAAGACGTGGGTGAGGAAGTGGGGAAGAACTTCACTGGTCCTGCCCCAAAGCTTTTGGATGAATTCGAGCGAAGACTCCAAACCCTGCCTTTATGTCCAATATCTGTGTCTAACCTTATAAATGCACTTCTAGAAAAAAGGTCAAAAAGTCCTATAAACCCTTCTAAACACTTCTAACCTTGTGCAAAGCATTCACAGAAGGGTTAAAGCTGTTATAGCTGCAAGGTGTGGGCTGACATCACCTTGGATTAAGAATGGGATTGCAATAATAAACTCAATATCTGCTTTGGGGGTTGATCTTCATTTATTGAATGAAATAAATTATTAAATGAAAGTTAAATCGTGTAATTTGAAATGGAATGATGATCATATTACATTTTTGTCCAAGAAGTACAAGAACCAAAAAAGCGTATGTTGGAAATTCTTATTTCATATTTGATTTTATTTTGCCAAACCTGTGTTGCTGCAGTGAAACCAGCATTTTATGGTCAGTCATTTTCAGATGGAAAAAAAAAGAATCAATGAAGCTGTTAACAGGTTGGAGCATGCTAACATTCTCAGATTTAATTCTCCAGACAGCTCATATATGTTCATGGTGTAATTTAGACTGCAATCAAAGTGTACCTAGAGCATTCTGATTATGATAAAAAACAGTGATGAGTGCAGGCCCTCATAATCAGAATGCTGTAAGTTCCAGAAAAAAAGAACCATTGAACACAGGTGAAAACATTGAGATGGTCTTTTAAAAAAAAAAAAAAAAACCGGTTGTTGCTTCACACAGTTACAAGGAAGAGTATATGTTTATCTGCACAGGAATGAAGACGGAACTTTAAGTACCAAGCTGACATTTGGTTTAAAAGTGAAAGGTAAAAAGCCATTGTCATGGGTCTTTAAATGTCTTTAGGATATCCCAGTAAGATTATATTTTGTTGTCAAAG